TAATGCTTAATGTTTATTAATTGTAATTGATTAACATACCCGTAATACGAGCAACTCTGCCTTGTAGTTGTCGACCAGTATTGCCAACCAAATGAGCACCAAGACTGAATCCGATTATGTGGAATTCGTTTAGATTGGCTCCAGTGGTTCGTATTAAGAAGTCAATGAACTGTCCTAAACCACGTCCAATAGCTGGAACGCCGCGTGCTGCTGTAGTGTAGTCAGCAGATGCAAGTCTATGCCAGTCAAGTACGATGACATTTACATCGCTCTTTCTAAGGTAAGCTGCAACATAACCACAAAATCGGTTAATATTCATTAAAGATGATAGATAGACAATTTATTGCTCACAAATAATTACAATAAATTAACAATTATCGTTGTGTGGTGGGCGCTCCTTGTTGGATCCCGGGTCCTTCCACCCAGGAGGGTTCTCACAGTGGGTCTCGCAGGTAGACCGATCCCGCTTTTGCCAGTCTATTTTAGGATGGGTGCGGAGCAGTGGCGGACTAATACTGTCGGGGTCCTGGGGCGGCATTAGGTCCGTACCTACAACTTTTTACAACTAGTGCAGAAACTTGATTTTGTGTTTAGACCGCCTCCCTTGCTAATACGCCTGCTAAAAATAGGAAACTAAGAAAGATAAGGCAGTACAACCCTAATTTATTATTTGGAGGCCCCCCAGAATAAGAGGCCCGGGGCGGACCGCCCCTTCCGCCATCCCCTTAGTCCGTCACTGGTGCGGAGTCGGAGAGCCCTGGTTTAACGCTGAAGGTGCATTTCCCTTGAGTTATAAAAAAGGGTGGGCGTTCTTATCGCTAAAATCTTCTAGACAATCTTCGAATCCATAGTAAAAAAAGCAAAGAACGTGTAATACAATAAATATTAGTTCATAAAATATTGAGTATTATACTCGCACACACCAAATATTTCTGTTTTATACTATGTTGTGTATCATTTTAGTATGTCTACTTACAAATTATCAAGGAATCTACAAACCGTCTCTGATGGCAGGATTGATTTCAGTATGCTGACTGCTGAGCCAGCCGTGGGCGATCACCACTGTTGGAACACTTGGGTTGTAATTTGAGTTGTGAATGGAGTTAGCATTATTCATCACCAGAAACTGACCAGCAATTGGGTTACGTCTGTAAAAAAGAAAAGAAATATATTGTAGAGGCATTCGGTAAAGAAAAAAATATATATTGTAAATACCGATACCAAAAATCAAAATATGCAGAGATATACCTTACCTTGTGAATAAAATGTATTGATTATCTGCCGGGTTTCTTTCAATTTCCGCTAAGACTTCATAGTTTGGTTCCGCGTTGAGGTCCACCAGATGCATGATACCTTCTCCATCAGGGAAGTTGATATACCTAGGGGACTTGATACCAATCTCTACCAGCGGTGTCGCCGAAGCGATGTATGCTAAAATAAATCTTTATTTATAATTTTTAGGCAGCATAAAATTTTTAATCCATTTAAAAGAAAACAGATATATCAATAAATAGGTATATGGCGAATATTGAATTTTGACTGTAGGATGGGTAACCAAAAATTTATTATGTCGAACTGTTCGGTATTTTAGAAGGTACGTTAGCTGTTGTTTCCGGTTGCATCTACAATCGTTAACACCCATCAATCTACATTGGGCCTGCGTTATGGATGCCCGTTTTCCTTATTTTCCATCCTAAAGAAAGGTCTTTCTTATTGTACTAGTAAATAAACTTACCGAAACAAGCCACGAAAAATAAGAAAGCAGCCGCTCGCATTATGAATTGCCTGTCGAATATTCTTTTTTATTGAAGATTTGCCATTTATATACTAGCGAATATATCTTTCGCATATATTTTGTATACACTAATTAATCAGTATTATCTATCGATATCACCTATTAAAACAATTATTATGTTGAGCTGACAAGTATTTTATAATTATAATCAAACAGAATGGTGTCTAAAAATTTACATAAAAATATATTTTCAAATTACGAGTACAGGTAAATCAATGTCATATGCGATATAATCTCATTCAATACATAGTCATTCAAATATATAGTAGCTCGATGACGTAGTGGATAACCGCCGCTGCCTGCGATCGTTTCTATGAAGCAACTTTGGCAAGGGTTGGTTACAGGATGGGTGACCAAAATAAATTATTTTCGCGAGCTACTCCGCTCTTAGGAAAGCACGTTAAGCCGTACATTTCGGCTGCATTTGCAGTCGTTAATGCCCTTCAATCTGCATTAGGGCAGGAGGGTCATGGCCCATCATCCTTAACCATCCATAAGTCAGGCCTGAGCCCCTTCAGTGAGGATTTAAAAGGACTGATGATGAATATATAGTTCTATGATAATTTAATTTTATTGATGATAATTTCTCTTAATGCGTATATTTTCGATATGAATATCATAAAAATATAAATTCATATATTATGTGAAACAAGCTCTTGTTAGATATCTTGCTGTATGTTATATGCTTATTAACGTCTATATGCTTAAAATTCTTGTATAGATGAATAGTTGTTTACCTAAGATTGGCTCATAGTTCAATTACAAGTTCCATCGTCAGTCCCTAGGGTTAACATTAACTTGGACCAAAGCCCCTGGCGACACACCAAAAGAGTCCAAATTCGATGGCGTTGTTTTGTTGAGTGTCCGTGATTAACCTTAAGCTTGCAAAATGTAACCCACTTAATGAAAAAAACCAGTGAAAAGTGGTGATAAACCACAAGTGGCCATATTTGTAGCAGCCCTTACACGATGAAAAGAATGGTTACATCAAAAATTTTCGGGGTATGTATATATCGATTACTGTTTTCTAAATATGTAAATTTTATTATAAGTTTATATACCTAACTGTGTGTATATGTCGTGGCCATATCGTAGATTTGCTCATTTCATAAAATGCTCGATAATTTCATGAAATGGTCGCATTTCATGAAATGTTTTAATGTCTATTGACCACATCATGATGTGGTTTGAGCAGATCAATGATAAGAAATCGTTTCTCGATATGGGCAACTACACGCGTGGCTTTTTCATGAAATGGTCAAGATTATTCGATCATATCGTAAAGTAGTTACATTAATTACTGGTAGAGGCGCTGCAGGCGCTTTGTTTATGCGTGAAGATGGCGGTCGTTGGCGAAAAAAACCACAATAATTCGTTGTTAAATGATGAAGAAAGTGGAGTATACAAATTCGGAACGGGTTCCGGGACAATTAAAAATTGGTTTTCACGGCAGGACCTACATATGTCGTCTAAAGATTATTGTGAAGATATATTAGAATTGCCAATATCATTGAGGGAAGCTGTAAATTTCCAATCTTTATTCGGAGGTCAAGGCTTTAAAAAATGCTTTTGCAAGCGAGCCAAAAATCAATGCCGTCCAAAAAGATGCGCATGTTTCAAAAACAAAACACTTTGTACTTCAAAGTGTCACCAAAGCTTGTCATGCGCCAACAAATGACTAAAAGGTTGTAAGACTGAATTTTTAAATTTTAATTCATTTATTGTGCATTCCATGTGATTTTTTATTTTACTTTTTGTAACTTTGTACCAAAGTACCTACTTATTTCTAAATATTTGTTTATTTTCTAAAAATAGATGTATAACTAATTGACTAGTCACTAAAGACTAATAAAAAAATATATTTAATTTTGTTCCAAAAAATTGTTTAGCTATGTTACACAAATTTGTATAATTTTGTTACAAAAATTTGTTTAATTATGTTACACAAATTTTTATAATTTTATTACAAAAATTTGATTAATTTTGTTTGTGTCAGCTGACTGACTTAAATGACAATAAATAAAATCTTAAAATAATCTGGATTTTTATTAAATATTTTATGGAATAAATAAAGGGTTATTTATATGATCTGGCCAAATGTGGATGACAAAATCGTGAAACATTGACGATTTAATGATCTGATCAAATTTAGTTGCCCACATCATGAAATACGACCATTTCATGAAATTATCGAACATTTTATGAAATGAACAAATCTACGATATGGCCACGACATATATAAAATTTGTTTCGATTTCTATTTTGTATTTATAAAAATATAATTAAATTACTTCTAATAAATTGGATATTAGATTATCTATAATTTGAGATAAAATGGCCAAAAATTATCTGTTTTCATTTCTGCAATAATCGATTGGTAATAATTTATGTGGAGAGCAAAAAATTCTTAAAACTATCGTATCTTCGTTATCAGCATGAGTTCATGAAAGTGGAAAATAAGCTGTTTCATCTCCATTTTCAAAATTCTTCAAGAAATTATAAGATAATCTCTTCTTCTTAGCTTCTAAAGTTTTAATTACTATTAAATTTAGATTAGTCATATTAAGAAGATACTCTGTGTATAAAAATAAGGTAAACGGTGTAGTACCTCGTTTGTTCATCAGCTTTGAGATGAAATAAAAGTTGCATAACTTTTTAAATAATTAACATATAGCAAATTTTTAACATAAAGATAAATTTTTATTAACCATTAAATAGATAATAATCATATTTTAGTATTCTGTTCACTGAAACACCCGTAATATCAGTCTGCAGAGCGAGTTTTTCTGAGTGCGACATGAATTTCGGCGTAGTTGCTCACGGATGCTTTTGATGTTCGCAGGCGTCCTCACAGAGTGTGGCCGACCACTCCTTTGGCGATCTTGCCGAGAACTTGTCTCTTTGTACCGATGTATTTTGCAATATACGAAGTTATGGCTTACTGTAAAACTTATCAGCTCGCGGAAAATCTGAATTGATTTTTTTCCCGCCTTAAATATCGAAATGACAATTGCAGGTAACTGTTACGTTCCCTCCATCACGAGAAAATATTAACAAATTAATTTGCGATACAAATAAACTAAAAGTTAACATTTTAAATTCAAAATTGATAAATAAAAAATAACAGCCAGTAATATTTTATTGTATTTTTCAGTAAAAAGTTTGCCTCAAAACTTATGAACACACGAGGTATCTTTTTTAGCTCAAATCAAGGACATAGATAAAAATAAACCATAAAATACAAAAGCAATTTTAATAAAGTAAAAATAAATAAATTGAACTGTTTTACATATCAACCTTATTATTTAATCAGAAAGGATATCGCTCGCCAGTGTTTAATCGGTACATGCCATAACTGAAAAGAAATTAGAGACAACATTAATGATACAGTAACAAACAGTTGCAAGTTTTATATGCTACTAAAAATATCATATGCCCAGTGTTCCATTTATTATGTTAATAAGAATGGCAGTACTTTCGACTAATCTATAGAAATGTTTCAATTTTATTGAGTGAAAGGAAGTCAGTATTTTCATACATAAAATATTAAAAATTATAGTTATGGTATAGTATTATGAATATCCAATTATGAAAAAAAAAACGAGTTTAAACAACGTAATGGTAGGAAAAGCTTTTTAGCACAAAGCCTTTTAGTTTAAGCTTTTATCACATTTAGGTTTAGCCAAAAACTTAGAATTTTAAACAATATTACATACCCGGTTTTCCTTAAATCATCATTGCCCATATGCATTGGTCTGCCATGGCAGGCATTCAATGTAAGTTCTAAATAGCTTTCGCATAAATTTCCAACTAGATGGTTGCGTTTAATTGTGGATGAGAAGAGCTCATATGCGCGATTGTGGTTACATAGAGGATTTGAACAGCCAGGCTGGCTGAAGCCACCGTTGGGGAAAAATTCCGCATCACCAACGACTACACCGATCCGGAGACCAGTAGCATTTCTTGCTGTGTATATGGCTTCGACATAAACACCGTCAGTAGGATCCAGACGCTCGTCGTTATCGTTCCATAGAAGACCACCCGGATCCAAACCTAGAAAGGAGAATTGATTAACACTCACTGTTATCGCTTTAAGTGCCTAAATAACTACTTCAAATGTTCACTGACAACGAGTTCATGACCGAAGAGGATTCAATAGGTAAAATTCAAATGATAGACTGGTCCTCATGGTAAACAACTCATAAATCTGCTATTAAAATAGATTTGTCCACTGTATTTTATCTTTGGCTCCTTCACTAGATCTTCTTGGGTAGCTATAGTGTTAGAAACTAAAATAAATTTAGCATCTATGGAAAGTTTTTATGTTGTATTTCATTTGCATGTTATGTTAACAAACATTATTATTATTATTGTGAGTCGTTTTATAATTTTACCTTTCGACTTGTGGCATCTGTTTATTTTCAAAATGAGAAACATAATTTCTATATCAAAATATTTCGATATTTCCAAAATCCCTAAGAACTTACCAGTAATGCGAGCTACTTTGCCTTCTAGTTCTCTACCGGCGTTGCCAACCACATGAGCACCAAGACTGAATCCAATTAAATGGAATTCGTTTATATCAGCTCCAGTGGTTTCAATCAAGAATTTGATGAACTGTCCTAGACCACGGCCAACGCCTGGGACACCGCGTACTGCTGTTACGTAGTTAGAGATGGCCAGTCTTCGCCAGTCAAGAATAATGACGTTGACATCACTTGTTTCAAGGTAAGCTAAAAACAATTTTGTATAATATTTTATTAATTAGAATAAAAAATAATACCCTGTCAAATTGAGAGCCAGTGCATGTTTTGGAGTCGTTAAAAATTGCTTTTGTTTTGCAAATGTTGGTGAATAAGAAATTCAAAATATGTATTTTTTTTTCGCACACTTCTCGAAGCAAAATATTCATGTTGGCCATGATACGAATATTGCCTGGAGAAGTTTAAAAAAAACTTCTAGTACTTAAATCTTTTAAATTATATATTCTTAAACATATTAAATTTATTGCTTCATATTTATAATTTCCATGGTTCAGCAATACTAGAAAAAGTTATTTACGGGCTTGCTACATTACGAGTTAACCTGACCTTTGCGATTGCAAAAGTGCTGAAGTATCGAGGACTACTTAAATATAAGGTATACGCGACTATACGAAATATATACGCAACTATAGGTATACAATATGTCAAATTAGCGCGAGTGATGTTGTACTCCCAATATATTAAGGTTTTAACATCAAGTGGAGAAACTCGACACATTTGTATAGTCTGATGTACTTTTGACTGGATATGGTAGCAATCCTTTAAATAACTCCCATACAGATACTACTTATTGAAAAGTTTTGCGTTGAGTTGAACTAATTTTAAACGGTATTATGAATATGATTTAATTCATGGAATCAGCAATGGAACGCAGATGCCAAATAATTTAATTTGAAAAAATTAAATGATTTTCAAATAAATACGCGATGAAACCGTTTAAAACCTGTTTTATTAAAAAAAAATTTCTCAACGATATGAAAATTACTAACCATCTCTGATAGTAGGGTTGATGTTGGTGTTCTGGCCGCTAAGCCAGCCATGGGTAACTACTACGGTGGGCACGCGGGGGTTGTAAAATGAATTTCGAATTGACTCGGCATCATTCATAACCAGGGACTGGCCATTTTCTGGATTCTGTCTGCAAAAAAGTTTTTTTTATATGATTGCTTTAACTTTTTGTGACAAATTACTTTATAGTAACTAAGCAAGCTGTGCTGGATGACAACAGTAGAAAAATAAGGATTCAAAAATAATATTTTATTTTATATTTGTACGTCATTCTAATGCATATGGAAAATCCGAGAGGCTTGATCAGGTAGGAGACATCAACACATAATCTGTTTCAAATTCATGGTTTTAGGTTTACTGTCTGGTAGTTAGATTATGGTTAGATTTAATATTAATTGCTTATCTGCGCATTTAGCACAATTTTGCCAATGTCAAGTTTATCAATTAATTTCTACATGTAAAATGAAAATGAAATGAATGAAAGATGGCGATGATACGGTTCTCAGCATTCATAGACACAATGACAGCTTAACAATTACTTTTGTTTTTATGTAAGGCATGAGAATTTGGCCAATTCAGCCATATTCAGTTTTAAGCCAATATCTATTTTTGGTTCATGTTTGTTTTTGTTATGTTTGAATACTTTCAATTTAGGGAACTATATATTTTAAAATTTTATGCTCTGTGATGTCATGGCTGAATTCAATAGAATATCAGTGCAGTGCGCCTTGCCTGCTGCTTACACTGTGTTGAGTGTAGTTTTGGCATCACATAGCATTCATAGCATCTGTATACAATTGTTTCTTATATTAGTCGTATATATACAAATGTTGTTATGAGTATTGTGTGCCCAACTATCAATTTTTTTCTTTCTTTCTCTCACTCCACAGTCTGACAGTAATAAGGATCATATCTCCTTCCCATTGAAATCACCTGGCTTTCCCCTGAATTACACATAAATATTAAAATCTCGATAATAGAATATTTGAATATATATAATCGATCAAAATGATTATTTTTTACGTTTAATCTAGTATTTACACAAAGACCACGTAATTGGTTGGTTATGGACCGTTTTACATTTTTTTTTACGGAGAATTCCTTATCAACATAAGTGGAGATATTAGGTTGATAATAATGTTTCTTAACAATTATGAATTTACTGTTTTATCCCCATTCTTATATACCCGCATAAATTTAGGAGTTTATCGTGGACAAACAAGAGAAGGTGAAATTACCAGTACCCGGTACTTCATCATTTGGCTTTTAGCACACAATATTTTACGCTATTATTTGGCGCCTCTAATATCTGGCCACTCTAGGCCCGAGCCTACTGTATCTTTAGGACAAATTCGTCACTGTCTATATTCCATTTATAATTATATTGTTCCATTTCTAATGGAAATTGGTTTTAATCATAGCAAATAGCAATTTTATCGGTACTGATAATCAAAACTATAATAGCTGATTTAATTAGTTTATCACATCGCACCATCTCGGAAATTATTTTTAATATAAAGCAACAACTTTGGGTACTGTTGAATGAAATTCGGCATAGTTTGTATAAGTATATGGACAATAGGTCTCAACAAATTATTTTCAATAACTTAAGTTTGTCAGCAGGCAAAATGTCATAGTTTTTATTAAACTGCTATCAACTGATCATTGAAAAAACTAAAATCAGGAACTAAAACTTGTTTAAGAGTTTAACGTTTAAATACAGTTTGAGACTCAATTCAGAAACCGAGGTTTTAGGCTAGGTTGCACTATAATAGCAGTTAACGATAAGATTGACAATAACTGTCACACTGACTTTAATGTTTACTGCAGAATGCATGGCAACGTCTTATTTTTTAATGTAGTAAAATAATAACTGTAACCAGTTGTCACTATAAAACCTTATTGAGTTTCAATTACGAAATTTATATTCAAACTTTATGGTTGAAATTCGAAAGGTTGGAAATTGGTTGATATTATTTTTTTAATTTAAATAACAACTGACGACCTGATTTAAACTTAATTATGCTGAAATTATCTCTTACCTAGTGAATAAAATGTACTGATTGTTAGCCGGATTCCTTTGAATGTCCGCTAGAACTTTATAATCGGGTTCAGTCTCAAGATCTACGAGGTGCATGAATCCTTCTCCATCAAGAATGTTAGCAAACCTGGAGGTTTCAATACCAACATCTGCCTGCGGTCTCGCCGAAACGATGTACACTGAAATATTATTCCATTTATTATTTAGTCGTTTAACTTATCTGTACAAACAAAAAATAATCTAAACTGTAAGTTATTGTATAACTCCAATTGCTAGCTCAAAGGTTTTTCAGCCGACATACGTCGCAGTCTATAACTTATGGAGAGAAGAAATGTAAAATTTGAATGGATCATAGTAAAATGAACACTTTTTATGGATGTGTAAACTGGCGTTTTGAATTTCCTCTATTCATTTAGTCATTTAAAAATAAAAATGTAAAAAGTTTCTTTGCAAATCTATCCAGAAATTAATCAGTAGTAATATTGAAATAAAAATATATGTTAACTAACAACAAAGCGTTATTCTTAATTATTGAGAACATTATAAAACAAAAACAAATTAATGAAATATCAAATATTTACAAGTGACTTACCGCCCGAGGTTAGTATAAGTAACAAAATAGTTCGCATTACGATTACTGATTTAAAACTGTGATTTTTAACTACGATTAATGATTTATATAAATTGGACAATATAATTTATCAGTATTATCTGACGATATCAGTAATGAAATAGTTACTTATATAGTTGTTCCGCCTACTATTAGTCAATTAAAGACAGAAAGTCGTAATAAGAAAGAAAACGTAAATAGTGTTTAAAAAAAAATTTTTTTTGTTATCATTTGTCTATACTAATATAAAAAAGAAAGTAATATTGTAAAGCAGAAGGTTGCGATCCTTTGTTTTCATGAAATAAGCTTCGAAACTACGGAAGTGAAGTTACGGAAATAGAATTAGTATATCTATAAACTCGATATCAATTCTATGATACTTAACCATGGGAATAAATAGTGCAAAGATTGTTAACTTACCCTATGATAAATAATTTTGATATTATATATTTTCAGCAAAAACACTAAATTCGATAGTACGTACTCGTCGTATTGACTTAACGTAACGTAGTAGTAGTTACTGTATTAAACGGGATATTAGACATGTGTTATTAATTTCCTATTTGCCAAACAAATATGTGAGTAAACATCATACATGATAGAGCCTATGTTAATTCGGCTAATAACATTTTCATGTAAAATGTTGCCAAGAAGAGATCTTTGGCTCGAGTCTAACTCTACACCTTAGTCGAAATATGTGTCTTCTGTTTTGTTACTATTACACAGGTGTAATGTGAAAAATTTACTCCCTGTTAATTACCGGGATTTTTTCTGTTATATAATAGTTATTTCATGAAATGGCCAAGCCAAGTGATTTGTGTTGACTTAAATTTTTGGTGGGATTTCAATTCTTTATTAAAAAAATTTTAACCTACAATAATCGGGGCCTTTTCTCAAAACATTATTGCTTCCCATCCCCATAAGCTTCTTTTGTAAATATGTATCACGGCATTTTATTTTTTAATTAAGTATGTACATAATTAAAGTTGAGATTATTAATATTTTTTATATTATATAAGGAAGTATAAAAATATTGTAATAGACTAAAACCTGATGAATCCGTATACTCTTTCTTCTCCTAATTTAAGGGACCGAGAGATTACTTTTTACTAAAATCCGAATCAACTATTTTTTTTTATTTGTGATAAGAACTATAAATATGTCAAATAGCCATTAACATTAAATGAATGGTACTGGTATGAAAGTAGGAGTCTATGGACGAACACATACAAACATCTCCCGAATTTTTCCTGTGAAAAGTCCTGAAATGTGTAATTATAAAAAATAATTCCTATATCCATCAACAGATCGTTACCATTATAATTTGCGGAAGTCTAGTAGGCTCCAAGTCTCAGTTCTAGAAAAGCTAGGTAGCCTTCCCTCAACTTCTCTGTCCCTTTGCGTTTGGTTCGTCTTGGCTGGCCACAACCATTGCCCATAATCAAATAATTTGATTTTCATATTATAACGAATGTTCTCATAAGTGTCTTGACTTATTAACTATTAAAAAAGGAATGAAAGTGTTTAAGATTATATAAAGATTATATGGTAGTGCAAGTTTATTGTGATAGAGCTTTTTAAACTACTTAGTCCATTTTTTAATAATATTCAAGTTTACATCAAAACAGTGCTACAAATATGATAAACGATGATGATATGGATTTAATCTGAGGCGATCAAAGTGGCTATTCACGGACGTAATTCGTTTTCGAATACCTCTTATTGTCACGTTCTTTGTAGGGACAATAAAAGAAGGTTTATTAAAACCCTTCATACCTCAACCGTTAAATAATAATGCGCCTCTGTGTTAAAATTCATTTTTGGACCAAAGAAATTTTCATTGCATTCTGGTGTGTTTCACGTAATAGGATTGAATAAAGCTATATTATTTCCGCGTGTTGCACGCTTGGCTCCAGTTCTGCAGGATTTTGCTTTTTTTAATCAACGCTCATGGTTTTAGCAAGATGGAGCTACTTGTCATACATGTAATGACTCGTTAGGGGCGGTCGAGACAGTTTTGACCCAAAAATAATATCAAAAAGAGGGGACATTACCTGGTTGCCTCGTAGCCCGGATCTATCCCAAATGAATTTTTATTTGGGGATATGTTAAAGCTAAAATTTACGACATCGACCTAGTAAGTCTTGATGAATTAAAAGATCGTATTCGCACAGAAATCCAAAATATCTAAAGAGAAACATGTAAAGCTGTTCCGTTCTAGATTGTAGCAATGCCAGAATAATGAATAATTGCATATGGATGATGTGATTTTAAGAAATAAATTAAATGTTGTTAAATTTTAATGATATATAAATGTTACGCTCAATGTTTGAAATTGATCATTGAACAAAAAGAATAGTTATGGTCACAGTAAAATACCCACATAGCGAAATTGGTCTTATGGCTCTTATGGAAACGCTCACGACGTGTTGTAGCAATGAAAAAAAACGATGAAGCGGTCAGACCAGGTGAATCACTCTAGGGGACGGGCTAGGGTGGGAGAGCGTATCTTTCGCTCTTGACGAGGGGCAGCATGGCGGATTATCGCGCTTGCCGGGAATTGCACGCTCCTTGTCCTGTTTGGGGGTTAGACTCGAATGTTCCTGAGCCTATATCCTAACCCGCGGTGGCCCCGCCTTGTAAAAGGGATGGGCTGAAACGGGGACGGCACGTGCGGGAAGTGGTCCCCTAGGGACCGTTACCGCTCGTCGTTCCCTGTGGAGAGGAACATCGCTGAGTTTTTGTGGGTAAACTCCCTGCTTTTTGACTAGCCCCCATTCTGGGGCTGGGTCCGTAGGTGGGCGTCCCACATAATTCGTAGATACTGTGCAGGGTGAAGCGAGTATGAGTACCGCATTTCTCAGCGTCAAAAAAAGGTTATAGTATGACATACAACGCACGAGGCAAGCGTGCAATGCGAGCGTGCCGGGGCAGCAGCCGGCGAAGTACCAGAAGCGAATCACTATTGTTAAATAAAACAGCTAGTTAAACCAATCAATGCTCAGAACGCGTCGTGACTTTTCTTTTTCCACAACACGTTGAGGTTGAATAGCATGTCAGCCTAGAGACGAATTTTGCTATGAAATTATACTGCGATTAACACAAAGCTTCGTGAGCATTACCAATGCTAAATAAAGCAACTCATTATTTTCTTAGCTGGAACTTAACATGTTTGTTACTGTTAAACTTTTTTTTGTACTTGTCACGCCATGACATGGTTTATGAAGTTATAATGTGTCTGAATTCCTCAATAATTAATAATTGTAAAAAAATACTTTATTTAACTTGCTATTGCAAATGTTTTTTTAAGAATAAAATATTCATCAACAAAATTTTTCGGTTACAACAGATTATAGGAGAATCTTCTAGTCGGTCAGTAGGGATATCTTCTTCCAGTGCTTACTCGGTACTTGCCTTCACTGTAACAAAATTACACATTAATAATAATAATCATTTATTCTCTCAACACAAAATTATGTACTTACACGTGAGTCTTAAGATTCTTAAAAACATTTTGTCAGCTTCGTCTTCATAGACATGAAGAGTTAATTTTAGATTTATTTTTAGTAGTTAAAAACAGTATTTTTAATATAAAACTGGTCATCATCAAATATTTGAATCTGCCTCGACCATCGATTATGTTAATATTAATATTTTATAGATATAAAAACGAACAATTGTAGATTTCACCATAAAACTTAAGAGCTGGAATAAAACTTATAGCATACCCAGTTTTTCTTAAGTCACCATTGCCCATATGTAGTTCTCTGCCTCGGCAGTTGTTGAAAGTTATTGAAAGATTCCTATTGCACAAATTTCCAACCAGGTGATTGTGGGTAACAGTGGCTGCGAAGAGCGCCCACGCGCGATTGTTATCACAGATTGAGGTCAAACAACCAGGTTGGCTGTTGCCGCCGTTGGGGAAGAAGTCAGCGTCGGCAACAGCTGAACCAATTCCGAGACCAGTCAAGCCACCGTCTGTATGGATGGCTTCCACGTAAACTCCATCAGTAGGACGTAGGCGGTTGCTATTGTAATTCCATAGAGGTCCAGCTGGATCCAAACCTCCAAATAAGCACTTGGTAAAAAAGTGACACTGTCTTCTGAAATTCTTAACCAGTTCAATATATTATTTAAGAGGTTTATGTGTACATCTTCGTTATATTATATTTCCTTAAATACTTTAACATGGAATCTGTGGCATTGTATGTGATAATAAATATAATAAAGAAAATAATCTTTATTCAAATAGACTTCATAAAAGTACTTTTGAATCGCCCAATATTTTTGCCCTACCACTCGTTCAGGACATCTTTTGGCTTTTGGTAGTCTAGTGACATGCACCGTTAATTTATATTTATTTCTTGTATTACAATTGTGTACATCACTTTTTATAGAAAACAAACTAATATTTTTACGAACGTACAATAAGTTCTCGTATATGTATTGAGAAGCAACAGTCATTATGAATATTTCCTTAAATTTCTCCCTTAAAGAGTACCTAATCCTAAGATTAAAAATAGATCTAATTGCTCTTTTCTAAAGCACAAAAACCATTTGTATGTCGGCAGCAATTCCCCATAATAAGTTTTCTTACTACATTACACTATGAAAGCAACTGAAGAATACTAATCTGCTAGTATCTATGTCAGTTAACCAAAGTTTCTTCATTACGGCATTTGCTGCATAGCTAATAATAATAATTGATATTAATGGCTGAAATATTTTATGATTAGCTTTTAATTTATTAGACTTTTGATCCTCTTTTTAAACCATTCTAGCTATTGTTAAAAACTTGATTTAACCTTTTTTTCTTTTTCAATTAATATTATATGCTTCTTACCAGTAACACGAGCTACTCTGCCTTGTAATTCTCGTGCGGCATTACCAATCAAGTGAGGACCAAGACTGAATTATTATGAAATTAAATGAATTTCATTAATATTGGCTCCAGTGGTTTGTATTAAGAAGTTGATGAATTGTCCTAGACCACGACCAACAGCTGGTACACCACGGACTGCAGTATAATAGTCAGAAATGGCGAGTCTTCTCCAGTCGAGAACGATGACGTTCACGTCGGATTTTGCAAGAAAAGCTAAAAATAATATTAAACAATTTTTACTTTAGAACTCGGAGGATATGACGCTTCTGAAGTTTTTATTTTAATTGGAAAAAGCTGTTCTAATGTTTTAAAAAATAGAAACTATTACGAGGCTGTTCACAACTCGTTTTCTAGTAGTTACCATCACTGCGAAATCAGATTGGATTCCAAACTGAGTCCTTATATAATTTTATTTCTTTTCAGGTCTTGGCGAGTGTGATATTATTGTTGTTTGTAAACATATTATTATGTGAAGTGACGAATTTTATGTTCACGATATAAGAACTGATCGTGGTAGTTCCTTCAAAACTTTCTTGTTAATAAAGGCTTAGTAGTCACCGTCTCTGATAGTTGGATTAATGTCAGTGTTCTGATTGCTGAGCCAACCATGGGCAATCACTACAGTGGGTACGCGAGCGTTGTAATTTGAATTACGAATGGAGTTAGCATTGTTTATCAGCAAGGATTGACCATTTGTTGGATTACGCCTATAAAATTATACTTAACTATAATATTTATTGTTAGATGCATTGATTACACAAAGGTTAGATGCAACTATGAGTAGAATAAAAAAAATAAGAAAGAAGAGCTCTAAAGTCCGACTTCATTTACTCTTCATAAAACAGTTATGGTTTTTTTCATAATTGTCAACCTACTAGCTTCCGCTACTACAGGGTTACAGATTTTCCCTATAAATGGAATCAAAATAGAAAACGGGCCATAATGAACCACGTGGACCCAATACGGGTTGGGATAGGTGCAAAATATGTACAAGTAAATACCGATATTAATAAATAAAACATAAAGATATACGATATTATCAATAAATAACTTACCGGAAGAAGTAAATAAGAGTAACAAAGCAGCTCTCATTATGTTGTCCAAACCAATCTGCTTATGTAATTCGATAATGATTTACTATTTATATGGATTCAGGTTATACTTTATAAATAGCTGTTTAATCTATTACTGTATCTATTAGTTATCTTCTGATATCACTGGTTAAGTAGATTTATTACTAATAACAATTTTTAGGATAACACAGTGAATAAAGAAATTGAAATAAAGTCTTGGTTATTCATGAGGTGGACATTAATTTCCCTCGTCATATATAAGTCTGTAATCAACGCCTGTTTTTATAAAAGATTCTGTTAGATTGATCCCGTAGGTTAATATTCAGTATCGTCATAGAGACAACATACGTTTTCCATAAAAATATCAAGTGTCTACACAGTTTTATATTACAGTCTGCTTATGAAAGACAAAAGAACAGTCTGTCTGAACTGAACTGTCAGATAGACACACTTATTAACTTTTTTTTTACCTAACTTGGCTTTAGCAACGCATTTTCTTTGCAAATGTCAAGAGCCTACAATAAGTATTACAATTCAAAAGCTAGTCATACATCATGTTGTGACAGACAGACTGACAGCAGTCTCTGTTTTAAAGTTTGTTTGCCCCTCCGATTGTTAGTTCTCCGAATAATGTGGCCTGTCCATTACCACTTCGACTTGCTAATCCGGTGGGCTATGTCGATTACTTTTGTTCTATAACGAACATCTCATTTCGGATAAGATCCTCCAAAGAAACTCCGAGCATAGCTATTGCCATAGCTTGCTGAGTGATTTTCATTTTATAGACAAGTCCTACTGTGAGCGTCTACGTTCATATGTATATGTTATAATAGGTAGGACACTCGATTGAAGACTTTCGTCTTTAGGCTTTGTGGGTTAGACAACACGAAAACTTGATGTAGTTTTCTTAAAGCAGCCCAACCCAACTGTGTTATTCTATCGATCTGTTTTTCGAAGTTGTTTTCTCCTATATCCTATTACCGATTCTCTGCAACTCTGTACTCCCACTTTGGCATTGAAATCCCCCATGATAACGCTGTAGTGAGTCTTAGTGGTGAATTGATGGAGCTGCTGCCCGTTACCAGCCTGGGGCATTTAGTTCATTTATTTATGGCGGGTATCCCGCTATCGATCGATTTTAAGAGAGCGCGTCCGTTAATCAGCAGGATGACCACATGCAGATAAGGTTGGCTTGGAGCAACTTAATTTTGATGTGCACTCGTACATCCCTTGGACTTCGGTAGCGTCTAATAACTTCAGGATTGGATATTTTTAATAGTACACACAACTGCACGTCTGGCTACCACAATATGTCAAGTTTCCTCGTAAATTTTTAAGTCTACTAACAATATATTAATAAAATGTCATCAAAAGAAAGTGGAGAAATTTGACAGTTTTTTTATAAATACCTTACCATTTTCACTTTTATTTACTTATCAGAGTACAACTTCTGCTGTTCGCTGATCAATCCTTCCGTTATGGGAGAACTTTTCATGCCATTATTTATTACATAAAACCACTAATTACATTTTAAAACAGCATTCTGTTACCGATAGTAGAGAGTAGACCGTAGGCATAAATTAGACAAGAAAAAGATTTATTATAAAACGAATTAAATATATTTCGATAAACAATAATAAAACAATACAAGTAGAATAAAAAGACAGATAAAGCAAATAGTAGACTTATGTAAAGTAATAAAAAGCATAAAAACTTAAATAAATACAAAAAAAAATATTGAACAATGAGGCGGACAAAAGTGTAATCAACGTTCAAAACTAATTATTTTTAGTCTTAGTGATTTTTGTACAAATAATTGAATTGTATTGTAATTTTCACATATATATTGTCAAAGATACGATGTAGGTAGTTGTGAGCGTTAATTGAAACTATTGTATGGGTAGTTTCTTGAAGGACTATTAATTGTAACGCTAACAGCATCTCTCAATACTCGTCGGTTTAAATATAAATTTTTATTTCAGGCTTTTTAGAGATATTGATATTTTTAATGTAATAGGTAACACTAAAAATATAAAATATTCAATGTAGTGAAATCTTAGAATAGAAGTTTTTATTTACTCGACATATTTTTTTCAATAATTCTATATTCATGTTATAAAGAGGAAATACTTGATTGATGTGCGTTGGATAGACTCCGAAACTCTAGGATAATATAACATAATATGCGGGGGACATAGGCTATAAGTCGCGGAAATAGCTAGTTTGATAGATATTGGTTCGCAATTCAAAAGATATCGATGGACATACCTACTTTCATAAAAAATATACATACTCCTTGAACATAGAAAATCCTCTTATTCTTAATGAAGAATTCTTTAAAAATCCACTGTGTCCGCTTTTTCGCTACTACAGAGCGTATTTTTCATCAAGGTTCAGGTGTGGAAAGGGCATGGGTTCGAGTCCCATCTCAGACTGCCAAGGACGAAGTAGATTTTTAGGCATGTTTTATTAAGAATATTTTTCAGTATAGCCTTGTGAATGTCAAATTAATCAAATATATTAAATTTTCAATATAAAAAACATTACCGAAAGCTTCAATATTTCAAAAACTATTTCTTACGGCTGCTTGGGTGAATTGCCTGAACAATTACTTGAATTGCCTGAGCAAATACGCTCTGTAGTAACGAAAAAGTAACGAGTACTTGAAAAATTCATTAGTCCTGTTAGGTCCTGGGTAGCTCAATGGTTAGAGCAGTTGCTCGGATTGCGAAAGAACATGGATTTGAGTCTCATCTCAGAGTGCCAGGGATTATTTAAGCATTTTTCATTTAAAATATTTAAAATATTTTTCAGTACAGCATTGTGATTGTAAAATTTATCAAATATAATAAATAGAAAATCCTCCTTTCATATTTTGAATAAATTCAAAATGCGTATTCTTTTGTTTTTTATTTGAAATTAATAATTAGGTGATTTTTAATTACCAAATATTAGCACAGCCTAAGCATAAAATTGGTTAAAATTTTGTGATTTCCTACCTCTCCATACCCTAAATAAAACCGTGTATCTTTTTTTTCGTTAGCGTTCATAATAACTTTTTTAATATTTTTCTTTATTTTTACTGCCATTAATATTTTTAAGATTTCGAA